GGGTCTCAAACTATCTTTTAACCAAATTTCATGTAAATCGGTTCTGTAGATCCAGAGGTTACCCCCTACAACGCCACAAACTCACAACCTCACTAACCCACAAACTTTACCTCTTTATAATATTAGTATAGATACATTTTACTCATGTCAATATCATATTAAAGTGTACTTCATACCACACGGCTCATAGTAATCTCACTGTCGATCCGCTATACGCATTTCAAAAGATTCTAAGCTGCAAAGGGTAGAGTATAAATATTACAATATGCATTCAAACCGTTCCTGGTGGTCTTCTAGAATCCGTTATTATCTTTTTATTGAAGCGAAAGGCTTAGCACTAATGCTAGCATCTTTGTCGAAATCCATATACGTAAAGCATCGGTTACCGCACTGTTTCTTTATTTTGATAAGTCCAATCTACAATTTTCCAACACCTTCATCCCCTTCCTTATATTTCCACTACCTAGTTGGTCTTACGGCTTTCATTCTTCTAGAGCTCCTGGGTTCAAGTCCCGGCTCGGGCAGCCGACAATATTTTAAGATTTTAAAGATATGAATATCTAATAGGTAAATATGTATTTTACGTATGGAAATATATGTATTGGATTTGCTTTGCATCGGCTGGCACCGACTTCGATTATAATATAATATTATAATATCTGATTAGGTCTATCTATTCTAAATGAAAACCTCCGTTTAGTTATTTTTTACATTTTAGTGCAGTAAGTCGGTTTTTTATTTATTTTTTTTAAGTTTTTTGACTGATTTTAGTCATTTTCATGAGCACTTTCTAGAATTCATAAATATATGTACAGACGCAAGAAGACAACAAACAAGTTATTATTGTATATTATTTTTTTAATTTTACAATCAATAAATCGTAAATGTAGAATATATTTAAAATATATTGTTAAATCGTAATACTTAATTACTACTCACTGCTAAAGTTATTTATGTACCTATTTGATCTTTATTTTCACATCACTACCAGACTAATAAAGGGCGCGTCTAATGCTATTTGCTTTGCCTCCCACTAAACCAAACAATCGAGAAAAATAAGACAGAATCCATACTAATATTATAAATGCATAAATGTGTTTGTTTGTTTGTTTGTTTGTTTGTTTGTCCTTCTTTCACATTGAAACAGAGTTTTTGTGCGGAATAGTTGGAGTGCTACAGAATGATATAGATTATCTCATTCCCACCGGAAATACATTATAATACAACCCACAGCAGCTCATCATACCTAGATATACTTATTATAATAAATAATCAATTTATTCCATTCTCTCTGTTAAAAGTTAAAACGTATCTAGGGGCGATCCCGAGCGAAGTGAGGGTGAGTTGCAAGTCTATTTATATAACGTACGTAATTAATGTCAATTATAAAGATATATTAAATAGAAATAATAACAAAAGAAAATAAAAATACAACTCGGACTACGTAATTGAAAATTACGCTTAAATGAAAATATTATTTTTTTACTTCAAAGGAAGCCAAAAAATGGTTTCACACTTGTAACAATGTTGTTTTATTCTAAGCTAAAACCTTAATTATTTTGGCGATGTATTAACAACTAAATTAGGCAAATAGTACAATCTAAAATGTAATTTAGTAATAATTTAGGTAATATAATCAAAGTAAACGTGGCAAGAACTCGGTCCTCGGAGTACGTTAAGATCAAAGTCGACGCGATACTGTGCCCTCTATTTTCCGACCGCCTTTAATCGATGAGAGCAAGCCCTTGGAGCCCGATACTAAACATAAACATTTACAATATTATAAAGAAAAACTTTGTCAGCCTTTATATAAGCTTATACGTTGTATGCTGGATTCTCTCTGTGTGAGATAGCGATAGCATATATATGTAAATCCTTTCTCCATATTCTATTATACATCAATTCCATATGCAACTATTTTATGATAGTAAATAAAAATTACCAGTCTAACATAATTTTAAAGTACACTGCAATAAATATCGCCAATGTGTTCTCATCGAAGTATACTTACGAAAGTTTGTATGTGTAGACTATATACTACTATTAGGAACCTAGGGATGCACCGAAGCGAGAGAAGTTTACTATTCTGTCTATCTATATATAAAATAGAATTACCGAAATGTATGTACGAGTATAATTTCCGATCGACTGCACCAAATTGGATATTTTTTTTTGTGTTTGTAATTGTCAGGACAAGCTTTGTATAGAAGAAAAAATATTTTTTTTTTACTAATTAAGGGTTTTTTTAAATCACATGATATGAAGTGAGTGAGTGAAATAGTTTTTATCCCGGAAATCATCCTTTAAGGGGGTGAGAATTAGGATGGAAATTTGTATGGAAGAAGCAAGCTTGGGACTAGGAACCCGAACGAAGCGAGGGTGTCGCTAGTAGTATAATATATTTTTTATCTACTAACGAACTCGGGTGATTATTCTAGTGATATTTTTTTTTAACTTATGTAGATAAATGATTGAATGGATATTCTAGATTCTAGAATAAATTAATATTAATAAATATTTTTGAAAACAATAATTTAACTTAAACTTGTTTTTTTATGTATTTATTCCTATTCTCCTCAGCAAACCTTTTCATTTGATATGTACATATCATGGGGTATATAAAAAACATAATCTGCCATCGTTGGGAGTCCACCATGTTGTATTTAGAATGACTTCACTTATCTAAGCATGCATTGTCATCTACAATAAACGGGCATGGAAAATTTCAGCTCAATCGGTTGAGGATAAAAGCTTTAAAATTCAGTTGCAAGATTTTACCCGAACAAATATTCATACAAACATTGCAAGTTAAAAAAAAACCTTTTAATAGAGAAAACTAGAAAGTTGTTTTATCGGCGTGCGCTACCTAAACAGTTTAAAATACGGCAACGTGTTTGACATAAAGACACTTAGAGACTCACCCGAGCGAAGCGATAATAAAGAGCCATTATTAACTTTGTCTTTTATTAAGTATAAATATGAATAGAAAATTTTATTAAATTTATAAATATGAATAGAAATGTGGAATGTAGGATGAATAGACTTTAAAAAAATGGAACATGGGGTAAAAGTACGTCAAATATTGAAGACATCAAGTTTCACTAAAAGGAAACATGCCAACAAAATATTTTTGAAAATATTATTAACTGCATTTAAATATTTTTTATAAATTTTACCAGAATCAGTAATGGAACTAGCTAAAAATTCAAAAAAGTACAACAATATTTTATCGAATTAATTAACAGGATCTATTGCAAGAATAAAATCTTGCGAACAAAAACATCGTTTCCTACAATTAATGAAAACCTTGAAATATCCCATTCGTTTGTATAAAACAAACCTATATAAATAGATACAAATGTATGATATATACATACACCAAAAGGCACATTGATATATTTTTGATCCTACGGCGACCGATTCGATAGTATGAGGCGAACAACAGGTTATCTTTTGAACCATCCGATAAAATAGATCGGTATTTTCGTACCAAATCCAGCGTCCCGTAGCGGCCATTACTTCGAATCCAATAATCTATACAAATATCCAATAATCTATAGAAATAGTCCATACAAATACGAGTATATATTCAAAATATAATAATTTTTAATCTTTTTGTCCTGTCATTCTCAAGAAATTTTTACTACCCAAAGGATAACTTGACCCTCCTTGAGCTTATTAGCTATAAAAGAAATGTAAAATGATATTCAGGCGATTACACAGACGTGGGAAGTACTATAAATAATTCGTATTTGATGTTATTGCTTTTTCTTGCTCGCAATCTTACTTAGAAGTAGGGCGGAATGAAAATTAATATTTTTTTGTATTACATATCTCATAGATAAAAATACTACTACGTGCCTAATATAGAATTCAACAGCAAGTTCGAGTACTCGTTTAACATGTTTTATTCTAATACACTCTTCTATCTCTCTATAATTAAAAGAAGCTAATTTATTATAACAATTAGTTTTATACAGAAATTCGATTGATCAAAGGTATAGTTTGGATGAGGCTACAGCTTGAAAAATGTAATTTAATTAATAATATAATTTGTAACTATGTATGGGATGTATTTATAATTATTTTAATAAATAAACATTTACCAGGATTAGAAATACATATTTTATTCACGTCTTTTCTGGAAAAACAACGTTAAAGACCATCTTCTCTGTGTCTACGTTGTATCTTATTATATTAAACGTGCAATTCTTGTATGAAAGTCTTGTATGAAATGGCTCTAACGATTTGGATTAAATTTTGTATTTATGTACATAAGATTTTGTTTTTAAATAAATCTATCCAGATGTCTTTTGTGAAAGAAAACGCAACTTTTATATCTTATGCGAAAAAAAACGCCAAATGAAACTCGGTCACCCAGGAACTGGATTATTATTATTATAAAATTCGGTTATGACGATAATGTACCATCACTGAGATGTTACGTTACATGTATATCAAATCGCATCATATATTTTTGTTTTTTCATTTTTTTAAATGCATCCAAAAATAATTACATATAATTTTGTTTGACTTACAACAGGTTCAAAGATTTAGTAATTTAAACTCATAATATTTAGGTCCAAGCAGAAATATTACGCCAGGTTGATAAATCATAACATTAATTAGAGAAAAGGAACGTTTTGACAAATTTCAACCCTACTATGAAAATAGTTATAAATATTAATTTTACTCAGTAGCTTTTAGCTAAAGCGTATACAGATTGTCATTGTTCGATTTTCGCAAATGTTTCTTATAGATCGCGTTGGGTCTTGAGAATATGTTAATATATCTGTTGACAATGCCGTACAATATATGAAATGAATTACATTAATAAAAGCTCTCAAACATGTATGTATCTTTCCAATTTCGGGAAAGTTCAAGGTACTTAGCATCCGACCCAACGGAAAATGCGGTGGATTTTTCTTGTATTTTATATTAAGTTCAAAGTAAAAAAAACAAAGCACCCTCCACATCGCTCATCGAATTTCTAAACCGCAATGTCAGTAGGTACGCACAGTGCATGGCATGGTAAATACCATACACCAAAAACTGAAGCATGGATAAATTTTCTCCAAAGTTATCTGTTGACTTAGTGAAAGCCGAAATCCACTAGATTCTTGAAATTATTAGGAGTTCTTATATCCATCACTGAAACACTTTCGGTTGATATGAAATTAATAATATCTAATGATGATACTAGCATGATACTGGGTTTTATATTGACTTCAAGCCTAGACTGCAAAACCCAAAATAAAGTGACTAGGGCAGAGAAGCACTGAGAAAAATTACTTGAGCAAGGAGAGAAAGCCTCTAGGCTCTAATTTTTAATTTCAAAATAATAATTGACAATTTTGTGTCTTAGAATTTTTATCTCTACGATTTAACAAAACCTCTTTTTAAATTATTTTAATTTGTTCAGCACTAGCAGCTTGTTTATATTCTCATAACACTTTTCCATTTCCAAGATTTATTTGAAACTTATCAGTGTAAACTTAATAAAAATTTTTAGATGTCTCAACTCGACGTTGCCCTTAGGAAAGAATTTAATTCTTGTTTCGAGGAAATTCTCAGTTGAAGTTTTCAGATTTCAGAGATATGATTTGTATTGCTGCAAACTTACAACATTTAAGTTTCCTTAATTTAGGAAAATTATTATTTAACTAACTCTATTTAATGAACTGCTGAGAAAATTGTTAAGTAAATGAAATATTAATTTTAATTTAAATAAATAGTTTAAACTTAGTTATAACTTATAATATATTAATGAGCAAGCTGTGGTCTCCTATAAGTGAAGGAGCACACGTGTTGTGATTCTTATTTGCTTTTTGTTTTTATATGATGTTGTATATTGTGTGTATCTTTTGTTGGAGATCTTAAATAAAATAAAATAAAAATAAAATAAAAAATAATGTGAGAAGGTTTACAGAAAATGCAGTATAATAATTATTAATAATTGAGTGAATCATATACATGTAGTATGATATCCTAATGAAATGCATATAAAAATACAATTATGGAATGTTAGCTAGTGTAGTTTGAAGCAAAATTCAATAGAAAAAATTTTTTTCACAATTTTTCAAATCAATTTAGTATGTACTTTTAGAGATTAGCGCGTTCAAACAAATTTATGTATTAGTATAGATGTTCATATCTATTACGTCTGAATTTAATGAAAAACAAAACAATATGTTATTATTCGGAAAAAAAGTTTAACATAAGCTATATTTTATTACATACTGGTTTTATGCTGATATACCAATATTTTCTATTCCATAATGAATTTAATAAGCCTTTCTATAGATCAAATCGATACCAGATCTTCTGTCACCGCTTTTACGACTCAGTAGGTAGGTATGATACGTGTGCTAAATAAGGGTTTCATGTCTCACTATCGTATTGATACCAATTATTTCATCGATGAGGTAAAATAATGAGCCTAAACAACTTAAAACGTGTTGCATATTGATTTTTACTTTGTAGAATGAAAATTCAAAGGAAAAAGTATGGTACAAACGGGATCAAAGAACCAATATACACAAACGTAGCCTTGAACTCGATGAACTCGATGTAACATCGATTAAAGGCCTTTCCGAGCCATCAAAGTTGATGGCTTCAAAGGCCCGTATACAAAAGGGTTCCTGTAAAAACAATTTTTCCCATGTATCGTGCACTATTAAATAGAATACTCGTGTACGTTAAGCTACAATTATGAGAACTTCCGATCAATTGCACTAAATTGGATAATTCTTTTTTTTTGTGTTTGTTATTGTCAGTACAAGTTTTGTATAGAAGAAAATTAAAAGAAAAAAATACAAAAATAAGAATTCGTCTAAATCTCATAATCCGATTTAGATGAAATTTGCTAAGAAGATAGTTTGAGATCAAATCATCCTTTAAGGGGGTGAAAATGGGGATGAAAGTTTGTACCTATTAGGGAGCAAGCTAGGGACGATCCCGAGAGAAGCGAGCGTGAGTCGCTAGTTATTATTATAAATTATGTAACTCATTACTAAAACGAGCAACTGTTGAGTTTCTCGCTGGCTGTTCTCAGCAGAAATGTTTTTCGACATACTGACGATTATAAAAGATATAAGCACGAGTTGATATTGCAAAAGTACTGAATATAATAACATATGCAAGGAATATCTTGAAGTTTTATTAGTGTTATCCTACAACATATTTGTAATAGGTCTATTCAGAAATAAATTCAACAACAATGAAAAGGTATTGATTGTTTACGAACCCTTGTAATTGTTTATATCCTACATTTATCTGTAGGTAATTAAAATGAATTATATTATAATTTAATATGCGGCTGATAATATCAGTGGAATCTTATTAGACTTTAATTAACAGTCGATTAAAATATATTCCTTGTTAATATAATTAATTATCCAAAATTAACATTGTAATTTTTTTATTAGTTATGTACTTAATATTTCAATGTTGCAACGCGAACGAACATGATTCTTCTCTATTATATCTATATAAATAAATATGCTATTCCTTTGTTAAATCTGTTACTCCTTCACTATCAGAAAATGGTTTTGGCGGTTTCATTTCCCATTGAAAGTACTTATATTACTTAAATAGGAGTGTATTGCAAGGCGTGGGTGGCACGCTCATACAACAGAAGCCACTTACCCGCTTCAAAATACTTATTTTGATTTATTGTTTTATTATTTTGAGGTTTATATTTTTCCTAGATTCTATAAATCAGTAATTCCATTTTGTGTAATCATAAAATCTATATATATTTTGTAAATGCTAAAGTTTGGATGGATGGATGTTTGTTACTCAATCACGTCAGAACGGCTGAACAGATTTGGATGAAATTTGGCATAGATACAGGTTATAGTCTGGAATAGCACATAGGTTACTTTTTATATTTATGTGAGAAAGCTATACTGACCGTTAATACGTATCGCTAGTGGTTTATAAAGAAACATCTGTTACTTAATTATTATTATTATGCTATTTATTGTCTACGTTCCCGATGTAGGTTTGACAACTCTTTAGGAAAAAGTTATTATAGGCAGTGTTAATTTTATTTTAGGCAACCGCGAGCCTAACCCGGAGCCGCCAAGTAGCCGCGTGGTACCCGGTATGGCTGCAATCATATCCAAAATGAAGATAGCTGTCAACAACAATCCGCCGACGTTGGAGAATAATCCCATCTTAGAATACTTCGAAGTGGGACAAGAAAGTAGCTGTGCTGGCCATGCTCTGGTGTGGCGGGTGTTCGATGCGTATCGGAAGAGCGACGGAAAGGTAAGTTGTCATCACAGCCCATATGATGCGATACGAAGGTAAGTTTTGAGGGGTTTGCAAGCTATTGACATTATTTCAAGTTAAGTCTGCAAAAAGTTACTATATGTTTGGTTGGCAAAGATTTCGGTTTTTCGCTATGCTTTTAAAAGTTTTACTCTTCAATTTATATGAGCGGCGAAAAAAATGTGTAAGTATTGTGTTTATTTATGTGCATTATATATTTCGTATAAAAAGTTCTATCCTCTGACGGTAAATAAATAATACGTTGTAAATCACCAATTTTACCTTTATAAAAACTATTGGAAGTACTCTTAAATGAAATTAAATTTGAGTTAGTTACAAAGACAGTTTTCAATGTCAAGTTCAAAATGTCAATGGCTTACAAAAACCTCAATTTACATTTTATATCTAGTTTTACAGCTTCATGTCATAGTTAGACAAGATAACTACGAAAATTACTTAAGCGTTGATATTATTAATATATAAAATGTTTGGTACGTTTCGTAACTCCAAACTAAGTCTAATCTCACGACAGCTCATCTATTAAAATATACAAAGCTATTCAATCTACAGAGCGCGACAAAGATATGCTATCCCTTGGGGCAAAATAGAGCAAAACGATGACAAATATTGACAAACGTTTATATAAATAAGATATCGGAGGGCGTACTCTTTACTCACTTAAAGTGAACCGCAATCGGAAGTAGCAATCTCCTCAAAACGTTTCTCAATTGTACTGAAGTTAATGTATAAGAATATAATAGCATTTTATTATATAAAAATTACTTTTCGCGGTACAAACAGTATAATTTGTTGCAAACACAGTAGTGTAAGGACATAAAAGATTTGAATGTCATATAAAACTTGTTTTTGCTACTCGTTTTTTGATTACGTGCACTAATTATAATTTATTATAATAAAGTACAATTTTTTTTAATAAAATGTGATAAAATTATGAATTAATATTATTTAACAATATTATTGTATTAAATAAAGTTTATGGTATTTGAATAATAACCAACCTTAAACCAACAACCACCCAGTCTTACCAAACTTATTAGCTTATATTATATAAGTCAACCAAAGCAAAAAAAAACAAAAAAAAACAAAAAAAAAAAACGGGCAAGCGTAAGTTTGACTCGCACATAGAACGTTTTGTAGTACGAAACATCAAATTTATATTTTATTTTAACATTCCAATTTAAGAAGTGTCTATCAGTTAGTTCAAAACAATCTGGGTGCACGACAGCGCACCCGCCAAATCGAGCAAAAAAGGGCAGGGCAGTACATCCATTGCATTGCAGCATCCGTTACTCGAAGCCATTCAAGGAATTCCCGATATTTACGCATACGACATTCATTTTATTGACGGCATAAATAAGTATGCATTTCATGTTATAACTATGATAAACAAACTTAAATTTGATTAGCAGCTGAACCGATTTCGCTAATTCTTTTTTTAGAATATTTCTTGAAGTACGAGGATGGTTCTTACGGAGAGAAAAATTTGAAAAGTTGCCTGAAAAAGTCTAAATACAACACTTTTCTATACTCCCATAAAAAAGATTCGTAATAATACTTAAAAATCAATATGAACTTCAATACCATAGCATAAAGTTTAAGTGTTAGTGGAGAGGTTCCGGGAAGGCAAAACAATTGGGTGACGTTAGTATCGTATAAATATGAATGACAATATTTGTCAATATTATTAACGGAAAAAAAAATTAAAATGTATATGGCTAACGCTAGCTAATAACTATTTATATCTATTTAAAACGTACCTAGCGACGAACTCGAACGGAGCGATGGTGAGCCGCTAGTAAACTAATAAATTAGATAATAATACTAACTCACGCTCACTTTTTTATTATCTTACTTTAACATAGGTACTCTAATCTCGCCAAGAGTAAAGCCTGTATGTATTTACGGCAGATAGCACGTTTCTTATATAGCATTTTTTGCCTTTTTATATTTCTTACTAAATTCACTCTTATGATAATGCTCTGTGAAAATTTTACACAGCTAACAAAAAACTCAAAGCTCAAAAGATATCCTTTAAAAGGACAGTCAGACCCGTAAGCTTACTGATAGGGTTCCGAGTGGACTCTTCAGGTACGGAAAATATTAGCGAAGTAATTTTCTATTTCACTACCTTGTTCACTTTCCATCAGTAGGTATCAAGCACTGTATAAAGTGGCAGTAGCAATGCTGCACCGTTTCTCAACCGGAAATAGTATAATACTTTCTTAGATTTACTCAAATATTTGGCTTACTAAATATTAAAAAATGTCTCGTTTTATTTGTTTTTGAATGCTTTCTAAAATATTTTTTAATTGTAAAGTTCTGTTTCAAATTACTCTATATTTTTTCGTTGATAGACATCGTTTATAATAACAATAACTTTTGTGACGTCGGAAATTTTAATCGCTCCCTTTTAATTGATCATGTTTGCCGTAAAGCATTCCGAACGTCGGAAACAAAAGACAAAAATAAAAAAACGAAAATCCGACAAATGGTTTTATTTTAAAGGGCAATTGTATGTTCAAAGTAAACCTATTATTAGAGTTAACAAATAGACACACATGCTTACGGTTAAAAAATCATTGTAGCACGTGTATACGTGATGCGATAAATATATATATATATATATATATATATATATATATATATATATATATATATATATATGTATGTATATATATATATATGTATATACTACATAAGACTGATACTGTAGACAGATAAAGCGCGATGTACGTTTACAAGAACCTTTTAAGTAATACATTTGTATTATGTAACAAAATAATTTAGAACGTGTATTGTTTTCCATTTTTTTTAAATCCCTTTATGGCTAATACGATATATTCTTTAAAATATAAATTAAACGGTATAGTCTTAAATAGGCTTTGATTTGTTCTTCCTTTCTCTAACATACTATTTGGATTCAAATAACAAAACGCTTCACATTTACGAGTAATGTAATTGGAAATATAGAAACTACAATATCAAAAGAGCTCCTCTCAATTCAATGTCAAACCATATCCTATTGCGCTCGTGTAATATGATAGCAATGCATTCGTTATTTCAATATTTTCTGTTATTTCATAAAAATAACAAGTATAAAATGTAAGATGCTTTATAAATGTAAAAGAGTCTGGTTGATGAAATGAATAAATAAACATATTGTAGATAAAATCAATGGTCACAAATAACTTTAAATCTAGGAACTATGGGCTTAGTTTCACTGTAATGAACGTATATCAAGTCGACTTCAAACCTTCATATCGATTAGAATTTTATCGATTAGAAATTTATATTTAAAACTAGCGACTCACCCTCGTTTCGCTCGGGTTCGTTCTTAGGTACGTTTTAATTTTTTTTTAACGGAACCCTAATTCTTTTACTGAAATAAAAGTAGCCTAAGATACTCCTTATAACATCAACTTCCAGCCGTTTTGGCGTTTAGCTGGAACAAACAGACAGACTGACAGACAAAATTGTAAAAATATTGTGTTTTTCTTATAAATACCGTGTATAATTAATTCCATATGCATTTAATAAAAAGCTGTTATTTTGACATTACAAACAGACACTTCAATTTTATTTGTCCAATATCCACAAATAAAGCCTTTGAGTTTTACTCGCAGATTTATTTTGTGGGTTATCTTTTCTTTTTAATTTCGAATTAAAATTTTGTAATTTTGTTTTTTTTTTATACCTGTCAAAATGCTATTAAGAAATAAGTTTGTTTTTTAAAAACGACGATGTCAATTATTGTATTGTAAAGACTTGCTTTATCGAAGTCAATTAAAGTCCTTTATAATCTTATTATTTATTTATTTATGTCAAAATAGAAATATTAACAACTTGGCCGTGATGGTAATGACCTCTTTTCTTTCCTAATATGAGATATTCAACGCATTTTTAGTATACTTTTCCTTGAAACTTAATTCACTTGATTTAGAAGATTAAACTGGAATTTACTCTCTCGAATAGTAAGCGGAAGCGAAGATTATATTCAGTAATAAAAGCTAATAAAAATCTTTGATAATGATATTATTTTTTGCGGTAAAGGTTTTACTAGACGAAGACTATTCACATGCGTGTGCTACATTAACAATTTTCATTTTGTAAGTTTTAAATATATTTATCATGAACTAAGTATAGACAAAGTACTACGTATATGTTATACTAGCATTGCCCGCGGCTCCGCCCGCGTTCAGATGACCAAAAACCAAATTCTTAGGTTTTACATATTAGTATACTCTATATTATATATATTGCAGTTTTTCTATTTTTTCTCAGAAATGAGACATTTTCCAGCGGTAAAAATCCTATATGTTGACCCGGATAACCAGCTATCACAACACCAAATTTCATCAAAATTCTTCCAGTGGTTTTTCTGTGATGCGGTAACAGACAGACAAAGAAAAATTCTAAAAACTATAGATTCGGCCTCTGTATCGATAATAATGTTTAATGTACTGATTCGGCTTAGTTACAATTTTATTATATGTATAGATGTGACTCTTACTAAACCCTATAATGATTTTGCGTAATTATGTCAGATAGCCATTTACATATTTAATATTTGATTTAAAATAGTGAGCAAATACGTAAGCAATAATTCATATTGTATCGGTTTAATTCTTCTTTCACCATTTTCATGTAGGTACACTACAAACCTATCATCTGATTGCGATATTTCAATAATCATTAAAATAACACAAATTTGATTTACGGTCGCGTTGTTTCTTTTTTTTTCACTTAGAATATTTTTAAAACCGAATATACCTTTTTGGGATCTATTTTTTTATTTTTTGTTAATTTAACACAACTTTAAATCGAATCGATAAAAACAAATCGATACATGTAACGTCATACATTGAAATTTCTTGAATTAATTTTACTTAAAAAAACAAACAGTTGTCGGTATAAAAAAGAACTACGTGTAAAAGAAATTTTGTTATAATTAGACAATTCTTTGGCGAGTATACCTTAATATTTATTTCAATGCATTCAGTTTTTAACAGAAATCG